CTCACTGCACTCCAAGTAAAAACTTCTTCCTAACATCTAACCTAAATCTAAACTAAGTCCTAGTTTAAAGCCATACCCCTTTGTCCTATCACTAACAGATCATGTTAAAAGTCAGTCCCCGTCCTGTTTGTAAGGTCCCTTCAAGTACTGGAAGGCTGCAAGGAGGTTTCCCCTGAGCTTTCTCTTTGCTACCTCTTGCTCTCCCATCAATTTCAGAACTCAATTAACTTTTGGGATACAATCAACTCTCGCTTACAAACAAAGGTGTTGCCTATACTTGCCATCCTATAAACATCCTTTCAATAAAGACAAGTAGGTGCTTTAGATATGAAAAGCATGAAAAGCATTAACTGACTGAAGATATCAATGACTCTATTTCTTGTTCTTAAGGGAAACACATTTTTTTTAATTTCTAAGATGGAGTACCAATAGCTTTGATTGCTAGCAAAACATTTTGCAGCTTTTTATACTTCCAAATACATGTCCAAATTCAATGCAAGTATTTAAGACACTCAAAATCATGTATTATACCTATTATAACAGAATAGGAAATGGTGAGATTCACCAACTAGTGAAGTCATTTCTATAACATTGTCTTGATGAGACTCCATATTAATTCTACCTTGTCATTCATCATACAAGAAATCCTGTAACATGAGATCAGCTGTCATTTTCACCGTGACCTTTTATACTGAAAGAAGTGCCGGTATAGCTGCGAAGCATAAGTGCCAATGAAGTATATTTGTCTACCACAGATGTCCCAAAAATCCACGACTGGTTTTTGAAGATAATTGATGTAAAAACTCAGTCTTTGGCTATTGCCAGTAAGCTAATAAGACAGACAGTCTTATAGTTTCCGTACCATAATGAGGCCTGAAACCAATTTGGCTGGGATCAAGGAAATATGAAGCCTCCAAATATTTCTGGAATTGCCTCACTATAAACTTTTTCAAAAAGGCAGATTGAAATGTCTTATAATAGATCTGACTGTTTGCATCAAGAAGAAGATATTTTTAGGTTTAACAAGGGCTTCCTAAAGAGAATTTGGTGCCTGGTCTTATCACATCCTAACAACATTCTCAGCTAAGTTTGGGATCTTCGTTGCCCAACAATGTAGTCTCAGTACAGTCTTCACTTAATGCTTCATTTACATGGGGACACTAAGGAAAATGTCTAGTCAAGACAAATTAACTAGTCAGTGTACATAAGTGAGGCTTTATTATATTCAGAAGAAAGGCAGTTTTATTGCACAGCAGGCTAAGACATAGTTACAATGTTACAGTGCATGACAGCGTCCATATAGAAGTTTAATGCAATCAAGCATATGTGCATTAGTTTATTTCATTTAACATTCCTAAGTATCTCACTGTAGGCAAGTCCTAAGAAAACAGCATTAGATGAAGTAAGAACTTGGGTTTGCTTTTGTCCCCTCCATAGCCTGCTCTGCTACCATGGAGACAAACAGCTCTGACAGAATCTAGTAATCTCATCTTCAAAGAAATAAAAACATTCTTGGTGAAAGTGCCTGCAAATCTCTGTTGGCCCTGAATGTGATCTTATGCCTTTCATTGAAATCCCACTTTAGCATGAAAAGAAAAAAACTGCTCCCTGCCATCCCCGTTTTCCTCCCTCCTCTTTCTATGAATTGTAACAAGAGCACCTAATGTATAAATTCTCCCACAGACAGCAGAACCAGTGGGCCCTGCACCATGCCCCATGCTTCTCTAGCAGCACCATCCCTGCACCTTCTATCTGTTCTACGTACCTTCTGTTCCACAGTGCAACTCTCCCAACTCCTCCCGCCAACACAGGGCCCTACAACATCTTCACAAAACCACAGAATCACAGAATGGCCAAGGTTGGAAAGGACCTCAAGGATCATGAATCTCCAGCCCCCTGCCACATGCAGGGCCACCAACCTCCACATTCAATACCAGACCAGGCTGCCCAGGGCCCCATCCAACCTGGCCTTGAACACCTCCAGGGACGGGGCATCCACAACCTCTCTGGGCAGCCTGTTCCAGCACCTCACCACTGTCATAGTAAAGAACTTCCCCCTGACATCCAACCTAAATCTTCCCTCCCTCAACTTAAAACTATTTCTTCAGTCCACTGCTGCATTCCTAGCTCTGGCTGTTTAGTTATTGCTTTTATTGTCTCCAGGTCTGTCTCCTCTCCATACCTCCTGCCTGCCTGCCTGGACCCAACAGCACCCGTTGGGCAGTGCAGGAGGCCTTGCTGAGCCTTGGCTGCCTCTGGGAGCAGATAGTGACTCAATTCTTCTTGCATTTCCTTCATCTCTCCTGCAAGCATCTACAAAAATATGGAAATGTAACCTCCATCTTCCTTGCCTGAGATTCCTGAGATCACCCAACAGATTATGGGCAGGGCAGCCAAAAAGATGGCCTGACTGGCAGTGTTTTGCTGTGATCAGAAACCAGGCCTGTGAGATGACAGCCCTAGGGATCCAACTCAAACTGAGAACTGGCTTTCCCTGTGCTCTCCACCAAGTCATTTCATCTCACTCCCATTCTGTTACTCTGACTACGTAACAGAAATGTGAAACAACCTGTCTAAAGCTCAGAAAGGTATTTGAGTTTTCAGACACTGGCTGCATAGTGGGAGACTGCTGTTCTTCAGCATTGAAGAAAGAACAGGGTAGGTCTTTTAACTCAAGAACTATGCTATGAAGAAATTAAAACAACATTCAAGAGTTTAGGGACATTTTTGGGGTATATTCTGAATACTGAACATAATTTAGAGGAAACTCAAACTATTTTTGAAGAAAAAAAAAGTGACACATGGAAGTTATTTGCATGGTAGCTAGAGAGACGTTAAGAGAAATGCAAATTCAACCCTCAGAATGGGAAGGACAAATCTAGAGCACATTCCACTTTCATGAGATTTAAAAAAGCCTCCTCCTTGCCACAGATGTGCAAACAGAGCTTTCATAAGCCATCACAGATCTCGGCTCTGTTCCTTCCAGAAGGTCATGACCTCTTCTTCCTTCCTTTCCTCTCCTCTCTACTCCTTTCCTTTCCTTCCTTTTTTCTTTCCTGGAGCACTTTAAAACCACATGGTTATAAACGATTTGGATGACTATAGTGATCACAATCTCTTTGCTAACACACCTCTGTCATACATAAATAAGTTGTCACTGGCCTGGGCTCATGTTTCACTCAATGCACAGATCTAACCTGACTGAGGAAGTGGTTTAACCACTGGAATGCAATCTCTGTTTCTTCATTCATGTCTCAGTACAAATGCAATAGGCTTAACTCAAGAAGAATCTCATCCTTTACTATTCAAAGACAAACAAACAAGCTAATTACCCCTTCATAAAAATATGTGATCCTGAGGACAGCTGGGCCCGGCTACAACCCATTGGTACTGCAGGTAGCCTGCAACTACTGAACTCAAAGCCAAACCGATATCAGTGGTATGTGTCCAGCAACAGAAGATGTGAGATGGAAAGCATCAGATTTTACAGACTTAGAACTTCAGTGCTTATTCATTGGGAATTAATGTTAAATGGGTACAGTTTAATGGGAATTAAAGAGAGCGATTTGTGAACGCTACCCCACATTGTGCACAATGTACCTCGGACAAACGTGAGCACACAAGTGAAAAGGAGAGGGAAATCCCCAGTATACTGTCAGGATTTGGCACGAATAAATCAAGTGTTCTTATTTTCTCTCACTGACCCTACAATATTATAGCTATTTGAAAGCATGAGCATTGTCCCAGTTCCGCTATCACAACGCCTACAGAGAGGGGAAGGATCAGACCAGGATCATTTACCAACTATACACTGTGCGCTGTGTCACACTTCTGCAGTCAGGCAATATTTTGTTATGATACACACCAAAATCACCTTAGCTCTGCTTTATTTGAGCATTGTACTTTAATTCACATAAATACACTTTGACTTTAAAGATTATGCATACTGTTCTAAAATTACGTCTCTGTGTCTGATTCTATCTCATTTCTACATCTATACACATGTTTACATGAGAAACATCAAACCAAAGTGTCCCACACAGTTGTGTACTCAAACATTCAAACTGGTGCCCAGAAGTAACCCTATCTCTACTAGATTTTACAACCAGATATTTTATTCTCAGTCACATTACTCTTACACAAAGCTGTACTTTCACACGCCCACCAGGAACCCCCACAACCCACTCTTCACTGTAGAACAGCAGCTCCTACAAGACCACAGGAGTCCACAGACATACAGCATAATACTTGGCTGTGGCAATACTGGATTCCACAGGGAATCATCTCATTTCCCAATAACAACTCTCTCAGGCTGCTTCAACTAATCCCTCAACCCCTCGAATTAGCATTACCTAACACAGGGGACACAGCTGGATACCAGCAGATAATTCCTAGTGATTATTACCAGTTTCAGGAAGCAGAGCTAAGGTTGCATTAGAAAGTACCCTAATTTCTCACTCTCCAGTTCTCAGTGTTACTTAACTGCACATCCTGAAAGAGTATGAGACATTACGAAGCAATCTTGACAATGTGTTAACACATTTTTCTGCAGTGAAACCAGTAGGATTACAGAGCTAATGGTCAAGCTTTTCAAATCACAAGATCATCTGCTTCCTCTTCACCCTTCTGCATGCAAGCCTCTTCCTTTGTGCAGCCATTACATTCAGAAAAAAATAAGACAATTTATCTCTCATAAGACTTTAATGCACTGCTGACCCTGTTTTTCTGGTTTAAGAGCTTATGCACAGTATTCTTGTTTGCTATAAAGGCAGTATGCCTAACCAGTTTACATTTTCCCTATGTGAACTACTCTGAAGAGAGTAAAATATATACATTTTTCTCTAAAGCAATATGAATGTATTAGAAATTGATGTGCAATATTGGAAAATAAACTCCCAGATAAACTTCAGGCACCTTCAGTTTTGACCTGCAACAATTCTAAATAGTGTGAAATAGACAAAATTAAACTTGAGCAGAAAGACACACAGAAATGGGAGAAGTTTTAACGGATAGCTCTATTATTCATTTTGTGTAAAACTACTTGTGCTCAGCACTTATACAGCGATCTTGAATCTTCATGAGGAACTCCTCATAGTGCTTCTTCATGCTTAGCAATGCGCCTGCTCCACTTCATACACATTTACTCATGGTAATCCTGTTTGCTACCTGTCCTCAACAAAGGAAAGAATGCATCATTACATCTATGCAGGAGGTGGCAGAGCACACAAGATGAAGTTCATAGGATACATCAATGAAGAAGAAACAGGAGGAACCAAAGTAAAGAGGAAATTTCTACAATGAAGTAACAGTGATAAAATGTTGAGAACATATAGGCAACTAATGGCTCCACTGGAAAGACTAATTAACAGTCTGGACATTAGAACTGAAAACTAGACAGCACAGGTTCATTTATGATAGACGACTGCTGGCTCAGCTGCTGAGGTAGTACTATGCCCTTCACTACGTCAGTTTTCCACATGTGATTTCACAGTCATAAGAGGTTTAATTATAACACTTAAAGTATGGAGGAAATTTCTCTATGCTACTATAAATAAAACTTTAAAATTAGATTGTTTTGTGAATCCCGTTATCTGTGAAATCTGAAGCCTGTGTAATGCACTGAACTTCAACTGTTTCCAGGTTTAGACCTGTTATGGTCCATTCATACAAGGAAATAAGTCTAAATGTACAGATGTGAGATGAAAACTAGACTTTTCAACATAATCCTCAGTCCCTGACTTCCATTGTTTGCTGAAGTGCTGTTAATGTGCATGAAATGGGATTCATCTGCTGTTTTCTGTGCCTCCATCCAACAGGTGCTGTTGAAAGATAGTCATTTGTGACTTCCAGCAACACCTAATGACTATCGCCTCTTCAAACAGCAACTACATCTGAATCACAGCACTCAGAAAGCTATGATTTTTTTTTTCCCACTATAGTGCCATTAGGAAATAACACTCAGTATTATAAATGTCGCTAGGGAATGTGCTAAAGGCTTCAGAGGAATTTTTAAAAAGACAAGAGCTGGTTTCAAAGTATTTACAGTTCAGTTTTCCACATAGCAAAGCAAGAATGCCAAACACACAGGCAGGTTTCAGGGAAGCACGTGAAATAAAACCTAATGGATTTCCTTTCCTATCACGCATGAACATCATGATGGTCCGAAAAACGTGTGGCAGATGAAGAAACACAAATCTGTTTCTCTAAAAGCACAAAGCAAGCAAAGCACTGGGTGAATTGCTCTGCAGCACTTCACCTCCTACTACCCAAAAGGCATTCATGTTTTTTTTTTACACACAGAAACAACGCTATGGAAGTGAAATAAAACAGAAACAGAAATAAAGAAGACTTGGACAAAAACATCTAGCAAATTGTGTGGAGACAGATTTCAATATTTGAACGTTTGGCAGAATGCATGGAGAGTAGTGTCAGTCCTTAATTGTACAGGTTTAGAAAGAATTCAGCCTGTGGGCAAGGTGCTCCTATAGTTTCTTATTAGAGAAGCTTCACACTTAACAGTAATCTTTCAGCAACTTACAGTAACTTAACTAAATGGCTGGCATCTTTCAGGCCCTTTTCCAGTTCTAGTGATAAGAAATCAAGGACTGGTGCCAGTAAAAAGTTGCTGCTACCGTTCTTCTCCTCCCCAGATCCTGTTCGGGCCCACGCAGCAGAAAGTTCTCTTGTATTGCAGTCCTGACCTGCGTAATTCAGGTTGGCAAAGATGGTTTCATTGTGCTTTGTTCTTCCTGCTTTAACGACCGCTGCTTCCCTTCCTTGCTGAGACTTGAAGGGGCTGCATGTGTTCGCAGCAGAAGTCCTTCTGTCCGTTTTCCAGTTCTAACAAAAGGAACAAAGAAAGAAGCAGGCCCTGTGGGTCGTTAACAAGGGACTCTGGCATATTTTATATCTCTGACGCTTAAGAGGCTTTCTGGCTTTGCCCTACTGGAAACTGATCTGCCACCGGCCTTTTCTAATCCCCCACACATTTCCTTCACCTGATACTGCAGTGTCTGCGCAACCTTCTCTATAGAAAGCATTTCTTTAGATTTCTGAAGTTTCAGACGATATTTAGCAAAGCAACCGGCAAGGAAAGTGTTGATTTTAAAATTTAAAAGAGGTGAAATCAAAAAAAGTTGAAGGGAATAGTAAGAAATAGAAAAGCAATAGCGAAGTTAACCAAGTAGAAAGCGCTGTTAAGCTTTAGGAATGCTAGCGGTGGTAATTCATCACGCGGGAATGGTCAGAAGAGCCGAGAATCTCATCTCCACCTCTACGAACTGCCTTCCCCTGCTCGGCTCAGCAGCTCCTCGCCGACAGGAGCGACACCCGAGCAGTAAACAAACGCGCGCCCTGAGCGCCGCCGGCCCCTCAGCCGGCACGTCCGGGCGCCCCGCGCGCACTGCATTTCCCAGCAGCGCCGGGGCTGAGAGGCGCCGTGTCCGGCGCGGAGGCCGCTGGGACAGCCGTTAGCGGGGCGCGTCACGGCGGTCGCCCGTGAGGGGGTAGGGTGGCTGCGGCTGTGCCGCCGGGCTGTGCAGGGTGGGGTGTACGTTGATATGTTTTCTAGAGTGGGAAGGTTCTGATATACACTAGACAGAGGGAGGGGAGCGAGTTTTGTAAGGGTGTAGCTCAAAAACAACAAAAAAAAAAAACAAAACAAAAAACCAAGCAAGAGTGCTTCCTCAGTCCCCATTCCCAAGGAGGGCAGTGCCAAGCAATAGCTTTGATGAGGAGATTCTCCACAGCTGGCTCCCAGCGGAGGAAGCTCTGGTACAAAAGAGATCGATTTTTAGAATCCTTTCTTAAGCTTAGGATGTCTATGACCGCCTCACATGCACTGGGGAGAGTAAGCTGCTAGAGAATCAGCGTGCCTGCATCCTGTGGCCATGTTTTCGGGCATTTGCTCACAGCAGGCTCAAAGTTGAGCCCTGGGGACGCAGGCATTGTGGCAGTGCATGATTTTCACCATAAATCCTTGTGCAAACCACCTCCTACATTACCTGATATTTACGGAACATCGCACGGCTTTTTGTTTCTTGGGGCTCTTTGGTCTTCCATAGGTGAGGCACGGAACATGAGAGCGGTAACTGGGCCATCTCTTTGACAGCATCTTGACTGCTGTTTTCTCACTCTACCTTGTGCCAAACAAAAAGGCAGGTCACCAAACCTCTGTAAACAAGCAAAGCCACACCCAGAAGTATTTGGGAGTGCAAACAAACAAATGCACACAACACGAAAATAACTGAATCTTCAGATCTCAGGTTTGGTTTTGGTTGCTTCTAACTGCAAAGCATTGGGACAAAACTGCACAAGCTGCCCTGTAGAATTTCTTCTTTCAAGATGACTGTTTTCCCTAAATGACCTTTTTATTTAAAAATAATGATAATAAAGATGTCTCTGCTAAATACAGTGGGAAGCTTTTTCCACCTTTCTCACTGGTCTTGCATTCTAAATGCATTTTTTTCCATCTCAGCTTCAGATACCTAGAAACTTTCCATTGAAGCCGCGTGTTACATTTGCTGCAGCAAATTGAAGTCCGGTAAGAAGAGGTTTCCCATTTTTAGTTACCTCTGTCACACTTACACATAATCCACAGGTTACACCGTCTGTGGATCACAGTTTGAAATGCAACAAATAGGTTAATCTAAATTGCTTTTCACTTCAGTGGCAGCTGCAACAATTAGTCACTTCCTTTGATTGCTACAGTATAAATATGGTGTCTCTATACTCTCATACCTTTAAAAGAGGTAAATAAGGTAAAATGGACACACTTTACATACAAAAGGTCTTATTCCCCCCCCCCCCCCCCCTTCCCCAGAAATTCACACAGTTTATCCAGAACTCAAAAAGCAGAGAACCAGTGTTTCAGTAATTACCCAGAAGGTGCTGCAATGTGTGAGCCTGTCAGCTGACTTTTCTCCATTTAACCACTGGGACCAATAAGTACAAAACTATTTTCTGTGGCTTCTGAAGTCCCTGAACTGAATGAGTCTGTGTGCACTGGGGAAATATCCCTTATATGTTTTGCCTGTTCGTGTACTATTTTTCTAAGTTCATGCTGCAGATTACCTAAGAAGTAAAATACTAGGTTAATTAGATATTTGTCTAACACAGTATGGCTGTTTTTCCAAAAAGAAGTGTTTTGCAGACAGTACTGTGAAGAATCTACCATGTCAAATCAACTGTGTAACTTAGCTTTATGGAAGGACATACTTCTTTCTTTAAATGGCTGCTTTGAAAAAATGAGAATATTCTCCAGAATCACTTTATAGGATGACAAATACTCATCCATCAAGTATCCGATTGCTGAATTTCTGAAAAGAGGTTTCTAGGATTAAGCTGCTAAGTGACAGGGTGATTCCTTTTTGTTTCATTTAAAATGTGAGGATGATGATGGCTTGAAGACTACGTATTTACTGTAATTCATGTCATCCATGTCATCGGAGATTTTATAATTTTCTATCACATTCATCACTTCTCAACTCTCTTTTGAGCTGTTAGAAAGTCTCTAAAGTAAAAGCTATGGCATACTTCAACCATCCTTATCAGTCTTCTGCTTACCTTTCAAGTTTTTATTAGGTCCTTCCCAAAATGCAGGGTTAGGATGCAGAGAAATTAGCATTCTCTTAGAGTTCAGGACATCCATGCACTATGGATTTAAGACATGGCCTGCTTATTGTTTTCTGTTTTGTTACCTATTTCTTCCCTGAAAAACTGCTATTTTACTTCTCCCATTTTTCTTATATTCTTCACAGTGCTCCCAGAGCTATTTCCCTAATGCAGGCACTGTTGCTTTGGGTTTCAAAAGTGAGCTATTAAGTCAGCCTGACAGATTTTGAAACAAAGTCCAAAGATATGCTGTAAACCAGCAGCGCTATCCAAAATCTTTATATTTTAGAAGGGATCTATAAACAGTCAGCGATCGTGTTTTGTCCAACCACAATTTTCAAGGAAAGGGAAGCAGGCTGAGGAAAATAACGTTAGTGGAACTATCCTTCAGCTACAGGAAGTTAAATGGGCAACAGTAAAGCTTTTTAAAAATCGTTTAGTTTGGCTTTGAGGTATGGAATTAACACATTATAGATTTCAGCTCTAGTACAGAAAAATATTTCAGAAATTAAATGAGCAATATGAAATGTGGCCATTTGAGAAAATGTAAGGAACACATTTCGTATTTGGATGTATGAAAAATACTACAGTGTGTACTAAGATCATATCCTGAATTCAAAAGTAACCAAAGGCAAAAATTCCTGCCTCTATTACTGAGCTCATGTGGCAGGATTCTCTGTGGGTGATGTTTCACACTTAGACAAGTGATGTCTGGAAAACAGATCGCAAAAATCAAAATCTCCCATGGCTATTCAAAACCAGCTGTGGAAAAATCTTTTCATTTAGCACTGTTTTTAAGGTTTTCTAGTATAAAATACAATGCAAGAGAAAGGACTACCAAAGCAGCAATGAGTTATTTTCCTTAGGATTTATGGGCAGTACAGATCTCTTGGACAAGCTTCATTTCTTCACAGACTTCATTGGTGTAGATGTATTTTAAAATGTGAGGCTCTGTGTACTGTCGCTCTTTGTTGCTGTGATACCACATGCATCTTTGTCATCTAATGACATAACATTCCGTTGCAGGCATAAAAACTGGGTATAGGCACTAAAGCCAGAAATGAAGTGTAAAAACATTGAATATTTTAAATATGAAGCTTATATATGATATTTGTGAATACATCAACTTATTGCAGGAAAAAATATACTAACAAATGCAGGGGATGCATTTCAAACAAACGCAAACAAACAGATGTAATATTGTGGAAATATTGTAATTAACATACACTGAAATGTAGCATAACTTACAAAAGTGTTGGGAAATGTGTCTAAAAGAGCTGTTGTAGATTTTTTTTCCTGCTTTAATTTAATTTCTTCCTTATGATCAACATAACACTAGATAGGGCAGTAGCTGTTAGAAGAGCACACAAACATCCAAGTCTTGCATGCAAATCATCCTTTCTGTTTTCATCAGAATTTTACAACATGATAGCAATACTTGCACTGCGGTAGCATCATGTGTACCATGTAGTGTGTGTACCTCCAAGGCACATTCTGCATGTGAAAACCACCTGGTGGAAATCAGGCCTGAATCCTTCAGGGTGACTGGACGAGGCCAGGCTCTTCTCAGTGTTCTAATAGAAAGTTAGGGAGGTAGGGGCTGTGACAAGGAGCAGGACAAGAAGCAACGGGCTGAAACTTGAGTGTGAGATGTTCCATACTAACATGCAGAACTTCTTTATGGTAAGGATGGTGGAGCACTGGATCAGGTTGCCAGAGAGGTTGTGGAATCTCGTTCTATGGAGATATTCAAGACTCATTTGGATGCCATAACTGCATGACCTGTGGTACTTCATGATCTCTTAAGGTCCGTTCCAATCCCTGTGATTATGTGATTCTGTAACTGCTCCATTGAAATGAACTGTTAAGAGGCTACAAAAATCTGAATCTGTAGAAGTGGGAAACTGACATTTGAATTTGAACAAAAACTGGCAAATGCAAGGGTGATTTAAACTCTGCTTCCTCAGAAAACAGGTTTGGTTCTCTCCAAAGTACCAAAGTACAAGAGTAACCACTGTGAAACTTCATCTGAGGCAGAATGCTCCTGTGAATGCTGTTCAATGTTTGTTGTAATCACTATTAATGAATTGACATTTTCCCTGACAAAATGGCTTCACCACAGCTTCCCCCTGTTGATTCAGCCAAAGAGCTTAGCAATTACGAAGTGATGGGAAAAAAAGAGAAGTTAAAGTCCAAAAGCAAGAATCCTGCATTTTTCTTCAATTTGCAGGCCAACAATTAAGGCAGCACTCTTTACTCCTCTCAAAACCTTGTGCAGCATTATCTCAACCTCTGGATATATGCAGTCCAAACTTGACCATCAAGATGCACAAACATATTCTTATTTTCACAACATTTCTTTGAGAGAATGAGAGGGTACATCTTATTGAAAGGCAAAAAAACCTTAATGCTTAGTAATCACCTCAGCTGCTAAGAGATTACTTAGAAATTATTTCCTCGAGGCCAATAGAAAACAAAGAAATGAAAGGACAAGAGGGGCAAAAGGGCAAGTTAGCTTTTTAGCAGTAGCTTGCAATGGCACAAATATGGAATAAAACTGAACACTCAGAGAACTGGTGAACAGCTGTTATAGAGTGCATTAGAATACATTAAAAGTTCTGTTCCTCACTGCCTCCAGAACTCTGAAAATTCAGAAAAGCAGAGGAGTAAGGGCTAGGTTTGACACAGAATCATTATGACTTTCACCCTTCATGTTTTCTTCTCCCCTACCATTTGTGCCACACGTAGCCCCTACCTCCCTGACTTTCTGACAAAA